AAATGTTTGAGATTCATGAAAATGAAAGCATTCAAAGTATACAAAAGAGATTCACACACCTTGTCACTAATCTATATGCTTTAGATAAATCTTTTACTAACCTTGAGCTAATTGCTAAGGTGATGAGAAGTGTGCACAATAGGGAATGACAGCTCAAGTTGACGGCTATTACGGAATCAAAAGATTTGAAAACCATGGATCTTGCAACCTTGTTTGGCAAACTTCAAGAGTATGAAATGGAGTTAAGTAAAATAACCTTGAAAGAACAAGCCATCAAGAAAAGTAAGGGAATTGCCTTAAAAGCCTCAACACCAAGCAAAGAGAAGAATGATGAAAAAGAAAATGGAGATTCTGAAAGTGATCTTGCTGAAGATGAGATGAGTCTCTTCGTGAAGAAGTATGGAAAAAATTCTAAGAAGAATTTTTCAAAGAGACCCGCATTTCCTCCTAGAAGAAGATCTAAAGATGAAGGATCCTCACAACTCACTATTACTTGCTATGAATGTTGAAAAACCGGTCACTACAAATCGGATTGTCCAAATATTCAAAAGAAAGACAAATATGAAAAGAAAGGGGTAAGATTAGTGAAAATCCTGAAATTAGGGTCAAAATACATAAGAAGGGTAAAATGGTAATTTGCCAAACACGTAACCCTAAGAAAGGAAAATTGAGTAGAAGGTCTCAAATGGAAAAACTAAAACTACAAATGGATTCAGAACGAAAAATTGAGTGGTTAGGCAAACTTTTGAAAATTTGATGAATAATGATTTCACCGGTGTAAAATACTGCGGTATAATTGTACCGATAAGTGCGAAAATATGATCAGTATTTCTAAAAAGTAAAAATATGATGTGAATGAAAAAAATATGTAGACTATGAATTTGTGGGTTGAAATGGATGGTTTAAGAAAGTTAAGTGACATGTGGGACCCACTTAAGTGATTAAATAGTCAAAAGTGTCACAAAAATCTGAAGTTTCTCTCTCCTCCTCTCTTCTCCCCCGTCGAGCTTCTTGTCTATGGAAGGGGCTTTGAGCTTTTTGATTTCCATCTTTTTCTCTACACACTTTTGGGAGAAACTGCCAACTACAAAGTTGCTCCCCTTGATCTTGTGAGTGACTTTCATGTAGAGTGCATCTTGTGGGGAGCATTGTGTGAGGAGAAAACCCCCATTTTCAGCCACGAAAATTTGGGAATTTTGGTGTTTTTTTTGGTTTGATCCATTGGTTGAAAACCTATTCTAGGATCATTTGAAGACCATTGGTGGTAAGTTTCTACACTCTCTTTCAGTTTTCATTTAAATCATAAAAAGGATGAGGGTTTGGTTATGTGTTGATGAGTTATGATAGTTAGGGGCACTAAATGGCATGTCTCCTTTCAAATTTAATGCTTAGAATGATAAATAATGATGATTGAAGTAATAAAATTATTGGTGAAATGGATTAGTAACTTAGGCAAATTTTGATGTGGGAATGCATGACTTTATGAAATTGGCATGTTATAGGATTGTATAATTAAGTTGTGGAGTATTGGTATGAGTTAATTATAGGATTGTACGATGCGTGGAAGTGTTGAAATAGATTGGAAATCTTTTAGTGCACAAGCATGAAGAATTCGACCTATAAGGAAATTTGGGGAAAATGATGTGAAGAAATGTTGTGCAATTAATGGTTGATGCTTGGTGCATGAATGGTGGAATGGTGAGTTAGTTCAATGACTAAAATGAGTGAGATAGCTGAAATAAATTATAGATAGCCCTTAAGCCTAAGTGGATAGGTTGAGTATTATTGTTGTGAAATTCGTTTGCTTGCTATGTGAATTATTGATTGATCATATTGTATATGATCTTGTAGGTTTCCTTCCACGGATTCCATAGTGGAGGATTGAATTTGGAGCTTAAGTTGGAGAGCTTCATTGAGGAGCAAGGAAGCGGAGCTTGTGAAGGAGTAAATTGAGGTAAACTCTTGGTACTAGAGTTTATCCCCTTGTGTGTTCCGTCGTATCCAGTGGAGGGTAGTGGTTGGATTGTGTGCTCCTTGACATTGTATGAAAATGTATGTTCATGCATTATTGACATGATTGTGTGACATGCTTATAGCATGTTGTGTGACATATCTGTGATTTCTAGCCAGTAGATGTGTGTGGTTTGGACTTCCGCTAGTGACATTCCTTTGGGGAATTTTGGTCGGGTTTTGTCGTAGGGCCGTCTCTGGGAGCGGTACCAAGATGATCCAAACGTGGGACTTCCGCTGGATAGGTCTCTTTGGAGTTCTAGTTGGGTTTTTCCATGGAGTCGTCTCAACCATGGGAGAGGCACCAGGAAGCTTCCCGGGAGATATATGATGGGGTCCTTGAACGAAATCCTTGTGTATGTTCTTGGATGTGAGCCCAGTGTTATGTGATATTTGTATGTTATGCATTTTATATGATGATCATTGTATGCACATTGAGTGAGCCATTGGATAGAGTGATCCTCCAGTACCCTTGGTTTTACAGAGATATATTTGTATATCTCACCCCGCGTTTGGGACATCATTTCAGGTTATAGTGAGCATGGAGGATCTTCGCGCAAGAGGCCTGCATAGTGGAGGATTTGACCATGGTGTGCATATGGAGAGTATAGCATTTTGGAGAGTTATAGTTGATGCACATAGCATTGTATCTGGTGTTTTGGACTTAGGTTATGAACATATTGCATGTTGATATTGCCATGCTTTTGGGTGTTCATGACTATATTCTAAGTCTTTTATAATTGATGTATATTTCATGCCACTTGTTGATATTGGTATTTTGGTGAGCATGAGACTTGTCCATGGCCACATATTGTGTTTTGAGGCATTTGGGACTTAATGTTGTAAATTGGCCATATGATGTTTAAATGCCAAAGAAATGGTAGGTCTTGTAATTGATATATTGTATAAGGTTTATGCATGATGGAAGGGTCTATGGCCTACATTATTAATTGTACAAGTTATATTTTGAGTATTAAAGTGTTAGGAGTGAGATACTTGATCTATTTTGAAATGAAAAAGCTGTCTAATGTGATTTTTGCAGTAGGGAAATCGATTACCTTCAGTGTGGTAATCGATTACCTGAAACAGGGGACCCAGATTTCAGCCACTGTGAAGGTTGGTAATCGATTACTTTGGGATGGTAATCGATTTCCTAGTTCAGTAATTGATTACCTTGAGAATGGTAATTGATTACCTAAAACAGGGGAGCCAAAATTCAGCTATTGACTTCTACAGTAACTTCTGGTAATCGATTACTTCAAGGATGATAATCGATTACCACATTGTAAAATTTTAAAAGATGTTATTTTATAATCCTGAGTTGATGGTATGGCTCAGAGGGGTTATAAAGAATAAGTAGTATACTTTCGCGAGTTTTGCAGTTATAATTACGGTGTTGTTTTAATTGATTACGGAAATGGTTAATGGTTAACAACAAGGATTTAATAAGGAAAAAAGTTTACCCGTAATTTAATTAACCCAATTACTGTGATTGTAACTGCGCTTAATACCATATGCAATGTTAACACTACCCGTACGTAACAGGCTGTTACAACCTGACCTGTTCGAGTTAGCCAATGGGCCAATCATGCAACAGACCTAATGAGAACCAATTTTACACGGCCAGTTTTGGTCAAAATCGATGACTTGATCGATTTTTTCTTAACTCAGTCAAGTTATGCATATTTAAAAAAGAAAAGAAAAAGCAAAATAACGTCATTTTTTAAGTAAGGACCAACTTTGAAATATTTAAGTTGTAATGCACCATTTTCAATTTACAAATACACATGAGAATTACACAAAAAATAAACATTTAAAGTTAAGAAAAATAAAATTGAAATGAAAATAGAAATCCTATATTGAAATTTGGAAGTATAGAAGACAAGGGGGAAAACTAATTTGAAATTTGAAAAGTGATGTTAATTTACGATTGATAATTCTTTTTTCTGTAATTAGGAAAGGCTTAACCTCCAAAAAATGAAATATACAAATACAAGAGTTATATAATTATGAAAATCAAATAAATCCTCTTCTAAGAAACTAATCATTTGAAGAGGAGGTTCGTTAAAGACCATTGTTATGGACTCATAAATGAGGCCCACTAAGTGACAAGCCCAATAAGAGACAATTCAAGATGCTAATCAAATATCACTATGAAAAGATATCCATCAAAGATATCAATCCTAATACGACAACATGACATATGGGCTAAGGCCGTCATTAGAGGCACTAAAGGCCCATAATCCACTACTCACAGGTAAACTCTATAAGTAGGAGTATCTCTTACTGTTATGCTGTCACTATGCGTACACACACCCCTTTGGCAAAACCATTATAGTTCTTCTGTTCACAATGATCTGCTTGACTCAAGGGTATTTGGAGAGGACATTAGATCTAAGAGTAACATACTAGTTCGTTGGGCTAGACATCTTTGTCTCTGAGACAGAACAACCATAATATCATCTTTCATGCCAAGCCCTTATTTTGCAAACCAATCTTTACATTTGTTGCCTGACATAATTTAGGTAATTCTAGATATATTGCTAGATACCATAGAAGTTAACATAAAGAAATTTTGAGTAAAAAATATAAATTTATGAGTTTTATAAGAGTTATATTGTAGGAAAAATGATTGTGTTTTGTGTCATATTACTGAGATTCGTTTTCCGTGCCTTTATTTTTTTATTTGCTTCAAAAAATATGAACCCTACAAAATATTATTTGTGTAGAAAACTTTACAGTGACGTTAAAAGGACAAAACGAAAATCCTATATTTATATACATTTATTTGTGTTGAATTGTGACCCAGTGAAACGGTGACCTACCGATTGAGTATCTGACCGAATCAATGAGCAGTTCAAGTGTAATAACATTGGTTAAAACGCTAATGACCTGATTGTTTTGCTTAACACACAATAAATTCCAAAATTGAAGTGATAAATAATATGAAGGAAAAAATAAAAAATAAAGGTTGAAAAATGAACCTGTTACGCGGGTAGTGTGTAGTTACGGCTACTTGTTGCTTCTCTTCTCCGTGACTGCTGCAAATCCTATCGACAGACACGATCCGAATCGGGAATATGATTGAATTGTAACCCTAACTCCTCTTCACAGCTAAAATTACTCTCCGTTATCATAGTCATCCACGCGCCTTGTTCATATGGACTCGCGACGCGCCTCGCGGGCCCTCATCGACCCTAAAGTCAGGCGCGTCGGTTTCTTCTCTGCGCGTGAAGAATCCGACCCACCCGAACCCGAATCTGTCTCCCCGGTTATGATACCGCCGCCACGTAATCTTTCCGAGCGAACGGCCGCCGTGCCAGTCCCCGAGTCCGGGGTTCGGCGCCAGGGGTCTGGTGACCAGGTGCCAATTGGAAGCTACAATCCCTCCGAGTCACTGCTCGGAACCTCGCCGGCGGCATCGCCTTCTTCGAGCCGTGTTGGGATCGGCGGAGAGTTTTCTGAGGAATCTTCCGGCTGGTTCCATCGCAGCGACTTGAGTTTTTCCGGAGGAGGGTTTGATTTGCAGGCCGTGAAGCTTCCGGAGAATTCGGTGGAGAACAACTTCACTGTGGGGGTGAATATGAAAAATCTTGCTGGAGCAACTGGTATATTGTGGTTATGAATATTGGCTTGTTGATTATGTTGCATGAATTGGCTTTTTGGTCCTTTCTATTTAGGTGACTAGACTGATTAAACAGAATGTGGATTAGTTTCTATTGATTTCAAATTAGGATATGTGTTTATTATTATTATTATTTTTGTTTCAACCACTCCGTTTTAGAAAGCCACTTTGTGTTCTAGTCATTACTTAGAAATGATGTTGGGTTAAAGTTTAATGGAATGTGTTGGAATTGTCAGTTCACAGTCTCTGAATTGGGTTTTGTTGAATAAGCCCTCTGCTTATTCTTTACCCTAAGCCAAGCTATGAAAGCTAATTGATTTCATTGTTAATTAGTTTGGAGATCATGTTGTAAGCTTGGAACGAACTATAACAGAACGATAAACACACTTGCGCTTTTATGGAAACTTGAGTTGCCCAGAGGCTTTATTGATCAGTGTGGAGTTTGGAAGTCCGGAGAAGAGAAGAGAAGCCCTACACTTTCATGTGATTTTTGTTTGGAGGGGAGAGGCTGATGTAAACTTCTAATAGGCCCCCGTCTTCGTGGGTATTGTTAGAATAGAAGCATGCACTTTTTTTTTCTTCTACTCATCATTTTATGGTAGCATGGAGCGCTCCAGTCCTTGTTCATGCAGGATGCACAAGAATGAACAATACGTAAGCTTAAAGATAAAATCATCTTAGAGTTTTGCTTCAATTTTTATTTTGGGGATGATTATAATGTTATATAACCTTTCTACATCACTATCATTTAGATTTACTAAAATATTCTACAGCCTTTCTACATCACTATTACTTAGATTTACTAACTTTAGTTAGGGCAAAAGGGCAAACCTCAGTGCACAAGGCTCTCTGACTTTACGTTTTTGCAATGCACAAGTATTCTAGTTTCTTTTTTGCAACCAGGCGTAGGTTTTGAATTTACGTTTTTAATATCTTTTAGTGTTTCATAATAAGTTAGGAAGCCCAAATCCATGGATGAAGACTTTATACTTATGGTTGTGGCATAAGTCCTGGGAGTTCTTGTTAAACCACCGTAAAGCTTTCTTTGAAACTTGAATGTTTAGTTTTGTGCGATTTTGGCAAATTGCTATATGCCTAGTCCTGTGATGCAACCAAAGCTTAGGTGTGAAGCCTAGGTTTATTTTCTAGTTCGTCTTCTCTTTCTTCTTTGTTTTCTTCTCAGATTATTTTTTTCAATTCTTGATTTTCTATGCCCGCACAGATCTAATCCCTTTGGAAGATAACATTAAATATTCACCCAATGAAAACCCTTCTTGATTATTTCTTTTGGTTTACCCTAGAACCCATCAAACCCCAAACATTAAATCCAGAGGTGTTAGGTAATGAGAGTTTTCCTTGGCATTTTACTGTTCAATGTATGGTACAATAAAGCATTGCTGGTCTTAAACTCTTATGGCTATTTTGATGAAAAATTTCCTTTGAGCTTGAGAGGCACCTGTTAATTACTTATAATGCTTGAAGCATTTCTATTATCTCCATTTCTTCATCTTGGCTTGAATTCTTTGATTTTCAACCCCTCAATCTCCATCTCTTTATATGATAGATCCAAGATACTTGAACTGTGCAACTTGCGATATGGTATGATCTCCAAGTCAAAGCTAATGTGCTTCTTGCTAACTACTTCTACTTAATCGTAAATCATGTGATTCCAATGCTTCTCTCAACTACACTAGTTTACCATTATTGATTTATTCCCTCTTTCAACTTTTTCATTTCAACTATATCGTCTACAAAATAAACTGTCCCCTGGCTATGCTCAGGCCCTCACTAAGACTACATGGTAAATGCTCAGGACTATTCACACTCACAGACACACAAAAACCCATTGGTCTCAAAATGTGGCCTTGTGCTAAACTACTATTTAATTTTGAAGAATGTAGCAGCAGTAATCGAACTCCTTACCACTTACTCGTAGAGACTTTGGCACCATCTCAAAAACCAACTCCGAGAAAAGTTTATGCTATCAGGTGGAGGGTTAGAATTAGTTTATTTTTCTAATATGTTCTATAAGATTGAGTGCTTGGGGTTCGGATGTGTGTATTGAGTTATATAAATCTTGTCTCTTAGGATTAGTTTGTTGCTGTTGAAATTATTGGATTTAGGTATAGAGGGAGGTAATGGAATACTTAGAATAACAAAATTATGTTGATATTGTTCTGAAGGATGTGATATGATGTGTTGTAAAAGACAAAGCACTAAGCTCTATTTTACTAATAGAAGACTCCTAATCTTAAATGAGGAAAAAAATCATGAAATATAAAGAAATATGGAAACTATTCTTAAGAGATCATCTTAACTATTCTAGGATATAATCATGATATTATGAGATATCTTGTAGATATTCTTAGAGTTGCGAAATGATAGAATCTAGATGTGATTGTCACTTTGCTAAGATCTTTTTTGAAATTTGCTTAATAGAAAGTTCATGCATTTGCCGGAATTTGGGATCAGTAATTTGACTCTTCCTTTTAGGTGTAATTAAGTTTTCTTCTACAGGATAAAGTAACAGAAAAACCTATAGAATTGTTAAATTAAAGAAAAAAATGGAGCAAGTTGGTGATCTTATGCTTTAGTTTGGGATGTCTATGTATATAGGTTTCCTTGGAAGGTAATTTGGGCCAGGGCCTAATCTACCTATCACCATGTACAAAAATCTCTGGTTGCATTTAGTTTTATAAAATTATTGTTAAAAGTGCTCAATATGTTGGCAGTATAATCGTATCACTGATTTGTTAAGTGTATTGCTGTAGTGATATTGATTTTTTTTAAGTCTATATATCTATTAGTTTATGTTTTACATCCTGCTACTTGAAGGGGTGCTTAGTACTTGGGGTTTTAATTTTTTTCTTTGACCCAAGTGGTTTAAGATTTTTGCTTCCCACTCCTATATAAGCTGTTTTGCTTCTGATCTATTGCTGATTCTACATAGAATTATTTGCATGTCTTATACTTTCTCATATTAATGCGAGCACAAATCCTGCAGAAAAGAGGGAAGAGGCTGTCAAAGAAGTACGCCCTGATCTGCCATCAATTTCAAAGCCACTGAAAGAAAAAACTACAAAGGCCGAGAGAAGAGCCTTGCAGGAGGCACAAAGAGCTGCCAAATCTGCTTCTAAAGGTTGTAGCCACTGAAATTCTTTCTCTCAGTTGAATTTTTCTGATGATAAGATAAAACTTATCGGGCTGGTTCAAGTTTTTAAGTTTTGATTCTAGTTTTTTTCTCCCACTCTAAATATAGATAACTGTCTGTTACATCATACTGTTTGTGTTTCCTTAACTGGATTTTAGATGAAATGTATGAATTTTTAAATCAATGTTGGTTTGTTCTTGACCATCACAACTTTTGTACATGGCAGGGTAAATGGACCTTGCATAATTTCTGTAAGTTTTATGAATTGCTAGTTAAGATAAACTAATTCTCTAGCTCTAACAACTTTAACTGCCCGAACATAACTATTCTAACTTACTAACTATTCTAATTACCTACTCCCTCTGGCCCTATCATAGTCTGTGCTTATGGTTTTGATTGTTATTCTGTATCCAGCTGATGGAAGTACAGCAGTTGCTGAATATGGCAGAGTAGCTCCTGGTAAAAGTATGAAGCATTCTTCACAAAAGAAAAATGGTCCTCCTGTTACACCATCAGTGGCTACTGAAAAGAAATCAGGAGATCATCCTTTGGAGAAAGAGAGGAAAAAAGATGCCCCTCCTCCACGAATGCAATTTGATGACAAAAGCAGAGTGGAAAAGGCTAAAAGGCGTGCAGTAGTCAATCAAACTGAAGCTACAAACAGAGTTGAATTATTTCGACATTTGCCTCAATATGAACATGGGAATCAACTTCCTAAACTTGAATCAAAGCTTTTTAAACTTGATTCAGTGCATCCTGCTGTGTTCAAGGTACTCTTTTGGAATTTTCTTAGGTTGGTTCAAAACAATGTAGTTGTCATCTATTTGTGGGAAGGTCAGTTAAATATGTGATCTGAAGATGAATATCAACATTAAAATTAAATTCTTTTCATGTACTCGAGTCCATAATTTGTGCTTACATTACATGTAATATAACTGCTAAGGAAGGACCATCATAAATTAATTATTATTATCAAATCTCCAATTTATTTGATACTAGTATAGTTGTTATTATAATAAGTATGTTTTCAGTGCTTAAAAATATTATTTTAAAGACCTTGATAAAAATATCAATTATGTTAACTTCAACTTTTTGCCCGTGTTTGCATCTATACTATATGTTCATCAGTGCAAATCTGCACATAGTGCTATAAATAACATTAGTTTGACTGTTCATACTTTGTTCTTTTGAACTAGAACCTGTATCACTAATATTCCTTCTTCCCATGCAAAAGGGGGGAAAATGCTATGCCCTATGACATGACATCCACAGACTCTTTATGTTAATTTATTTGTTCCTTTTTTCTTTGCTAGTTTACATTCTTAAGCCACTTGTTTTGTGTATGACTCCATGATTTTCAAAACTCATTGGCTTGTATAATTTTCAGGTTGGATTGCATTATTTGACAGGAACTATATCAGGGAGTAATGCTCGTTGTATTGAAATGCTAAGAGCATTTCAAGAAGCCATTAGAGACTACTCCACACCGACTGAAAAAGCCCTTGTTAGGGATTTAACTGCAAAAATCAGTAGTTATGTTTCATTTTTTACTGAATGCAGACCTCTTTCTATTAGCATGGGAAATGCAATTAATTTTGTAAAGAGTCGTATAGCCAAGTTGCCTTTCAATCATACTGAATCTGAGGCAAAAACAGCTCTTTGTTCTGATATTGATAGATTCATTAATGAGAAAATAATTCTTGCTGATAAGGTGATTGTTGGACATGCTGCTCCAAAGGTTAGAGATGGAGATGTTCTTCTTACATATGGATCGTCATCTGCTGTTGAGATGATTCTTTTATATGCCCATTATCTTGGGAAACAGTTCCGTGTTGTGGTGGTGGACTCTCGACCAAAGCTTGAAAGTCAGGCCTTACTTCGCAGGCTTGTTGCCAAGGGCCTGAGTTGTACATATACTCATATAAATGCTGTTTCTTATGTCATGCATGAGGTTACACGAGTTTTTCTGGGAGCTTCTGGCGTTCTGTCTAATGGAACTGTATATTCAAGGGTTGGGACTGCCTGTGTTGCAATGGTGGCTCATTCATTCCGTGTTCCTGTATTGATCTGTTGTGAAGCTTATAAGTTTCATGAAAGGGTGCAACTTGATTCCATATGTTCCAATGAACTAGGTAAGTTTCAGCATCAGCTTTTTCGTGTTGAATTTTCACTTTAGCATATGCTTGATATGCATTAAGAAGAGGGATTGGGATGGAAATTTATTTGTGCTGCTATTAATTATTATTATGAAAATAATGGGGCATCTTCCTCCCACCTCCTATTGCCTTCCTGCTCTGCCAAGCAAGCCTACATGCATAATTTTGAAATGCAGTTGGCAACTGAACTTGACAGACTTAAAATTGCTTGCAGGTGACCCAGATGCTGTTGCCATTGTTCCTGGAAGAAAGGATGTCAATTATCTGCACAATTGGACTAGTGAAAACAATTTGCAGCTTTTGAATTTGATGTAAGCTTTAGATATTCCATTTGTGTGAAAAGCCCCTCAAAAATGGATAGACTGATTCTTATTTGATGGACAGGTATGATGTCACTCCTTCAGATTATGTCTCGGCAATTGTTACGGATCATGGAATGGTAAGTTGATTAATGAATACTTTACAGGTTTAATGGTAATGCTGTGTCACCACTTGATACTAGGGGTGTTAATGGGCCGAGCCGAGCCGAGTTTTGATCTTAACGAGCCAAGCCTGTATTTAACCGTGTCCGACTGGCCTTAGCCTGTTACCTGTTACGAATATAATATTGGCCTGTGGCCTGGTTTATTTACAAAAAATAAAAGCCTGTGTGAAGCCTATCTTAGCCTGTTAGCATGTTAAAGAATAAAAATAAGAGAACAAAATTCCACAAAAAATCCCCTGAAAGGCCTCTGGCTCGTTTACCACCCCTACTTGATACTAACTTTATGTTGTTGTTGAATTTTTAGAATTTTTAACCTCTCCGTTATTATTTTACTTTAGAAATTTTTATTTCACTTTTTTTAATGATTGAACTTTGAAATGATATCATTTTCCCGTACATAACCTGTCCCTTCGCCCTTAACTCTTAGGGGACGTTTGGTTGAGGAAATTTTTTTGTAATAGTAGGGAAATATAATAGATAGAGAAATGATTGGAAAAATAGATAAAGTGAGATAGGTAGAAAAATGTAAAAAAAAGTTGTTTGTTGGGGAAAAACTTTACTGGAAAAATTAGGTAACTTTATGAAATCAACAGTGCATTAAAAGCCAGATAACCGGTTTTCCGAAAAATCACACCTTCAAATTGGGTTTCTAAACAGCGCGGATATCTATGTTTCTGATAAATCCATACAAATTGGATAGATGGGTTTTTGGTGAAAATACGTTAAAACAAACATGATGTTTCTAAAAGCCATACTTGAGAAACATAGATATCCGCTGAAAAGCTCCCAACCAAACACCGCCTTAAATCCAATTATTTTCTTATTGAGTAGCGCTATCATTGTGAATATTTTTGCACTTTCTTTTTAATTCTTATTTTAGCATAATTTCCAGTTTTGTTATCTTCTATCTGGTCTTGTTGCAGATCCCTCCTACAAGTGTGCCCGTAATTGTACGAGAGTATGGACGAGAGCACTTGATATAGAGGTACAGAGAAGACACAAGGCTTTTACAGCCAACAACCGATTTTGATAAATGAAATTTTTATACATACTTGAAGTTTAGTTCGAAAGTGAAATTTTGTGAGCTTTTCTTCTTCCAACGATTATTGAGATGTGTACTCCCTCAAGTTCCAAAAAAATTTGTATACATGTCCTCTGTAAGTTGAGAAAACTTTTGGTATAACTGTTGTAGGTAAATCTTTACTAAAAGGGGAAAGGTTTTGGAACTTAAAAGGGAATTATAAAGAAAAGTATGGGTTAAAATGGGGGAAAAAAAATTCCTTTTTAGTAAAAAGGGAGTACCAAGATAAGTTCAGGGACCGTGCCAGAAAGTTGCAAGCAACTTGTTATAACAAAATCGATTTTTTACCAGATTATTTTTCGTGCAACATTCCTGTCCTGTAGTTTGTAAAAACTACATCTGATAGTGTAGACTTTCAGTGTCAGTCAAAATTATAATCATCTGAATGGACATATTTATAAACAAGATTTATTTAGCGCCAACACGTATACATATTGATTTTTAAATTTTAAGTATCCGAAGATATATTCTTGTGTTCATTATAAACATATACTTACGAGCTTTTTTTTATTTATATAGCAGATTGATCTGAAAATCAAGAGAAACGGTGAATGCAATTTGGACCAAAAACACGAGAACAAATAATACGTACACTTTGGACAAGGAAAAGAGCAAATAATACTCATGCTTGGCTTAACGAACACGTAGATAGCACTTAGCAGCATACGAATATTAACGAATTGTGATGTGAGTTGTGACATCAATTAAAAGTCAATTATTTCTTGTAAAATTCTTTTATGTTCTGCTAATTGCTTGTAAAATTCAGTTGCCAGATAAGAAGCTTTTTTACCATTTAGGTGGATGGAAAAAGGTAGTATGCCTAAAATCGTGGAGAACATTATGAAAAAGGAATTCGAATGTAATTTTTTTTCCTAATTATTTATCTTTAAAAGAAAGAAAGGATGCTAGAAGCCACAAAGTATATAATTTATATAATTAGTTCGCTCCGAGCAATGTGATACCCATACAAGGGATGACTCGCCAACCAAAATATGTAATTTCTTATGTAGAAATTGAATAATTGAATACCTCCAAGAAATTGATATTGCTTGTTGCTGACATTCATCTCAGCTTGTATACACTAACATAATAATTAGTCAATTTAGCAAAATGAGAACCAAACACATACACACATGCTAGATCTCCGAGAAATAAACATAAAGAAAGGAAAAAAAAAACTTGGCTCCAAAGGATCCAATCCTCAATCGTTTCCATATTTTTGGTACTCACATTTTATACTCATGTTTATGTGTTGATCAATTATTGTTCTTTTATAAAATTTTCTTTCCGGGGATTTTGCGATAAAAAATCCCGATGCACTACGCCACCTCATCCAACATGTTTTGATTCTATGATTTCCTTCCTCATCAATCTCTCTCTTTCTTGGAATATAGATCTCAAGTATCTAAAAGCATTCTTTTTGGGTACCTCCTCTTAGAGGTGTAAATAAGTCAGACAACTTATCAGGGACTTATAGTTTGCCAAACTTAACCCAACCAATTTTAAAAATAATACAGGCTTGGACTCATTAAAATGCCTCTTTAAAAATCAGGTCTCAAACCTATTTTAAAAAGTCTAGTCTCTAAGCCTACATATTTGACCTGTATTTTTAAAAAAAAATAATATTTTACTATATTTTAACTTTTACACCCGTCTTATAGGGTTATGGATGAAGCAAAAAACTCAACAAAATTTGGATCTGTTAATGGAGTTTCATCGGTGTTGCTGAACAAGTTATTGTCTTTACCTTCAGTTTTTTTCGTCATCACAATTTTTTCTTTTTGTTGAGTGGGATTATGAAATACATAAATGAGTAAATATATTTCTTTGTTTGAAATTTAATTAAGTCTTCTGCATTCATGTCATTATTTTGTTTTTGATTTCCAACCACGTAGTTAAATTTTTCCATTAGCCTAAACATACAAAAGAAACTTAGTAATCATAATCTATAATGTACAAAATACAATATGTTATTTTTAAAGACTTGGTAGATTTAATAGGTCAGGCCAAGCCTTGAATTTTTTTAAAAAACAAGTCAAATCCAGCCTATAATTTAGCTTGAATTAAGCTAATAAGCCAAGTCAGATTTGAAATATTTTGTATAGACTCAACTTATTCAGGTTAAAGTTTGTCTTAGTCTGACTCATTTCTGCTCCTACCTCCCGTCCCAACATATGCATGGAATCTTGATTTTCTCCTCTAGTTGTCAAAACTCATACTTCATATACTCGGTGTTAGTCTGACTTAACATAAATCCTTTAGATTCCAATGTGTTTACCACAATTGTAATTTTTTATTAACACTAATCTTGGTCTCATTAATAAGCACAATATTATCTACAAATAGCACCCACAATGGCACCTCTTCTTTAATATCTTTTGTTAGCCCATCTATAACTAGGGTAAAAAGATAAGGACTCACTACATAACCCTGGTGTAAACCTATAGTAGTTGGAAAAAAAACTTGATGTTTCATATACAAGTAAGAATACCAATATACATGTCCTTGATCGACTTTACATACTTTGACAATACTTTTTTCTTTTCCAGAACCTACCACATAACCTTTCTTGCAACCTTATCATACTCTTTGGCGAGATCAATAAATAATATATGAATGCCATTCTTCCTTTCTTTATATATTTCCATCAATTGTCATATCAAGAAAATAAAATCTATGGTAGATCTTCCTTGTATAAATTCAAATTGATTTCCAGAGTCCTTGGAAACCATGCTCAATCACTTTCTCTCGCAATTTTCATTGTTTGGCTCATAAGCTTAATGCCTTAATAGTTAAAACAAATCTATATACAAAAAATAAATAAAACAATTTTGGATGTTTCCCTTGTTTTTATAGATAAGCGCAAATATACTTTTCTTGCATTCATCAGGCGTCTTATTACTCTAGAGAACCATTTTAAGAAGATTTATCAACCAACTTATTATCACATCCACGTGCTTCAATGGTACACTATCAAGTTCCAAAACTTTATTTGTCTTCATCTCCTTTAATGCCTCCATAACTTCATGCATTCTAACTCTACACAGAAATCACCTAAAGCATCCTTCAAATCTACCTTTCTTTTGTCATTATCCTCAGTAAAAAAGCTTGTTAAAATATTTCATCCACCTTTCTTTAACTTTTGCATCTCTTATTAAAAGATTTTTATTTTCATCCTTGATGCATCCAATCCAGGTCAAATCCTTACTTTTCTTGTCTCTTATCTTTTCAAGCTGATAGATACAATTTTCCCATCTTTGCTCCCAAGTTTTTTGTACATACTGGAGAAAACATTTCCTATAGCCTCACGTAATGACTTCTTGGTATTTTTTCTAGCCAAACTAAACTTTTACAAATTCTCTTCATTGGTAAATTTATGTAAACATCTTAAACATTCCTTCTTCTACTTAATTGTCTCTTGAATCTCTTCTACCATTAAGTTTCTTTTGTTTGATGTACATTCGCTTTACTTTCCCTTAACAATGCTCTTGTCACTCTTAGAATACAACTAGACATCTTGTTCCACATCACATTTGCTTCTCCATATAACTATTATGGTCTTTTTTGAAGTATTCTTTCCTTGAACCTTGATTGTTTTTTCAGCTTTAATTTCCATAATCTTATTCTTAGGTTCTAAGCACTTTTTTGCATGCATTTTATTTTAACTTGTCAATTTGCAAATTTTTAGTTATTGAGATAACTCAACCTCTAAAAGTATCAAGTTTTATTGTGTAACATCCAAAAAATAAAAAATAAAAAAATAATAATATTACAATAACAAAATAATATAAAATTAAAAAACCAAAATTTTAATTGGCCACAGAGGGGGCAACATGGAAGCACCCCCTCCAAGTGACCAAATGTTGACTTTCAAAGATATTTATAATTATATTATATTATTTTAAAAATAGCATCTAGAAATCTATATAAAGCCCCCCACCCCCTAAGTTAGTCACACCATTTTAGAAAAGACAGAAAAGGAAAGAAAGAGAAAGAGAAGAAAAGAAGAAGGGGAAATACATGTCAGTATATAGGTGTCCTACGGACAATCTGAGAGTCAGATGGACCTATGTATTTCTTTATTGTTATGCATAAATTTTATGAATAAAAGCATTCTTTATCTTTTTCATATTGCATGTCTCAAATGTTATATGTTTATATTGAACATGAGTAATTGGATAAAGCCTTTTTTTTTTGTAAATATGGATAAAGCCCTTAGAATGGAACGAGTGTCACTTTGAGGATCTGTGATAGAGATCACGATTATGAGGGCTTAATGACACCACACGTTCATTGCCAGAAATATTTTCCTAGTCTAGAGATACCGAGAATGGGCATTGGGACGGATAACCAAGACGAAAGGATAATTTACATGGTAACCAAATAGGTATAATATGTTGACCATTCGATGAACTCAACTAGCTCTGGGACAACAAAGCATTGCTAGTGCTCTGTGTTGGCATTAGATGGATTGGGCCTAATGGGCCCAAGCCCATTTATGTCAGTGACTATGTTGGACTGGATGTGTCACATACAAATATCTTAAGTTGTCTTGAATTCTAGCATATGTGATTTCGGCCCAATAAGGGTTAATGGGCCTAAGTTGGTAAAGCCCATATGTTAGGCCAAGAAAGGTTAGGTGGCACATAGGCCAAGTTGGACTTGATCTATGATGTAACTTAATTAATTTAAATGTTAAATCAATAAAATTAATTTGAATTCTAATTTTAATTTTTGATTTTGAAATTTGAATTTAAATAAAATTAATTTGAATTTTAATTTTGAATTTTGAATTTGAAATTTAAATTTAAATATAGTCATTAAATTAGATTTATTGAAAATGGAGAAAATAAAAGGAAACCAATCAATTAGATTAATAGACCAAAATTAAGAAAATCAATTAATTAAATTAATTGGCTGAAATCGGGGAAACCAATCAATTGGATTGATTGGACAAAATTAAGGAAATTACCCAATAAGATCGGGATTTGATTAAGGCGTTGATTTGACCTAGTTTTAGGTTAATGAGGCACCACATATATACCTCATTTTCTTCCTTAGTTTTGTAAGTTTTATTCTCTAATTTTCTCCACCGAAATCCTAGCCAACACACACACAAGTGTGGTGGCTATCTCTCCCTCTCTTTGGATCACCATTGACGCCACTCATCTTCTTCTCTTCTTGAGTCTAGTGTAACGCCCGAGAATCAATGATTGTCCCCACAAACTAACATAAGACTTTTCGGCGTGCTTTTTCCTCACTCACACACTTTATGGGAAAACTTCCTATGAGGTCACCCATCTCAGAATTGCTCCAAGTTAAGCACACTTAATTATGGAGTTCTTCCATTCTGGGTTACAGAAAAGTAGACGCATCTTGTTAGTCTAGGTAGTACCAATTAATTCTTATAAGTTATCCCCAACTGTAGAGTCCTATACATGTACATTCTTTGGAATCCCTCTCTTTCATGTGTGTATTCAATTAATTCATGAACCCCTCCACTGGAAGCCTGACAAGAGTCGCTCCTTGTTCATATCTCTTTGCACCGGAGATCACTCCGCGCCCTCGTCGGCCACCGGGATGTTACATGCCCACCAGCTTCCGCTTGGTTCATCCTCGAACCACACCATACTAGGAGAGAGGCCCTGCTCTGATACCACTTGTAACGCCCGACCACTTCAAGAACCAATGTCTGTCCCTACAAACTAACATGAAATTTTTCGGTGTGCTTTTTCCTCACTCACACACTTTCTGGGAAAACTTCTCAAGAGGTCACCCATCCCAAAATTGCTCCAAGTCAAGC